CTCCCCCTTTCGCCCCCCCCCCCCAGGCTGGAGCTGCCCTTTGCCTCGCTCTGCCTGGGCCGATCCAGGTTACTCCTTCACCGGCAGCGCACGAGGGTGCCCGCTCAGCCCCCCGCGAACCGTGCAGGTGTACAGACAAGAACTTTATTAATAGAAAGGGATCTGGGATTTCATAGGAAACGCTGGTCCCGGTCACAACCGCTTTAGAGGAAATGCCCCGGTGGGGGGGGATCAGCCCGAGGGAGAGGCCGGCCCCTCCACGCGACCCCCCGCTGGCCTTGGAGGTATTGCCCACCGCCAATACCGTCACACCAGCTGACTCGTCCCCTGTGTCACTGGGATCAACCGGGGGTCACCGGGATCTCTACCCGGGCAGGGATAACCAGCTCAGTCAGTACAGCCCGTGCCGGAGTGCTGCGCCGGGGCACGGCTCGCTGCCAGACCCACCCTCGCCGCACGACCGTAAGGCATCAGCCATCCCTGTATCCCACAGGGCTTGGCAGCTGGCAGCACCGTCCCTTTGGGGACACGGGGGCCGACCTGTCTGCCACCGTCACCCCCTCACGACTAACGCTAGGGTCCAGGCACACTCCGCAATCCCAGGGGACAGGAATCGAGTGAGGAACCGGCCCAGAGGAGCAGTGGGACTTCGTGTGTGTCCCCAAGGAGCAGCTCTGACGCTGCTGTCCCTCCCGCGGGGTAGGGAGGTGGCCGAGCACCGCTCGGCGCTTGGGGATTACACCAGGAGGCGGCACGGGCGCTCCCTCGGTGCCCAAAGCACGCTGCCCGCAGCAGCCTCCCCTGCAGCCCATCAGACCTCGTGAGCGGCCAGGAATGAAAAATCCGATAAGCAAACTCCCTGCCCAGAGAGGGACAGAGACTTAGTGACGTCAGATAATTACATCAAACAACTCAATGAAAAAAACCCAAAACCCAGAAAACTAAACTCAAGAGTCGTAACAGCTGCTCCGTTTGGTCTGCGCGGTGACGCCACCAGGACCGATGTCCTCTCTCCGTACATGACTCGTGCTTTCCAGCAGCTGCGTGCGTCACGTGCGGGCTCTGGCTGTGGACACGTGCAGTTCGAGTGATTCTTGGGGACGCCGGAGCCGCACCTGGCCTGGCTTTCATCGCTTACCGGGCTCCAGTTGCCCGTCTGCCTCTGGGCAGGTCTCACTTCACACGACGTTTGAGGTAGCTAGCAGAACTAGTCTTCCATAGGATTAGTTACGGTGGGATTTTGCACGTGACTAAAGGAGACGACCTGCAGTTTGGAGAGTGGGGGCTCCCTTCCGCAGCGGGGCCGAGCGGAGGGGGCTGCTCCCGTGCAAGAGCCAGCGTCGGCGCGCGGCAGCCGACAGGCCCGAGCCCCACGGAGGGGTCCTCGCGTGGACTGCTGCTGCAGCGCAGGGGTCGTCTTACCCGTGAAGTATTTCTAAAGTGACTCTCCATCTGTGCAGGCTGATCCTGAGGGAATTGACTCTCGTGGGTGTTTCTGGCTCTCGCGGGCTGGCCTGGTTGAAGGCAGGAGTGCTGCGGGGACCTCAGAAACACCCGCAGCACCCTCGCAAGCAGAAAATACCGCGGTTTGGTTTGTTCGACGTATCTTCCGATGCAACGCTCAGGTGTTCCCAACCTGACCGAGGGGTCAGCGGATTTCCTCAGCAGGGTGGGTAATTGGACAAGCGCGGCCAGGACGCGATGGGGTCTCAGAGATGCCACGCTCTCTTCATCCGGCGTCTTGGTCAAGGAACTTTGTCGGTGAAGAGCTCCCTGGGAACCCCGCCTGGCTCGCCAGCTTGATTCCCTTCTCTCTGTCCTCTTCGCCGTGTAATTGTATTTCCAAATGCGAGGGGGGAGCTCCAGCATCAAGTAATGGGTGACCTCAGCTGCTGTTTGCAGGTCCTCTCGCTGGGCTGCAGGAGACGTCCCTGGTGATCTCCCAGGAAGGTCAGCTTGGGAAAATTTCGTGCATCGGCCAGCAGACACGAGAGTCTGAGGAACGGTAAAGCATTTTGGATCACCGGAGGCTTCTGTAATTTGCTCTCTATGGTGGTATCCAAGCTTTTGATTCCTTCTACAATTCAGGAAAGCTCCTAAAATCCAGCGGACAGACGGTTCACAACCCCAGTGCCCCACCATGTGCAAAATCAACGCTCACAGTTTCCCTCCAGGGACACAAGCAGTTCGGATCTCTCCTGGTGTCATTTCTCCGTCACCCCCGAAACCGCCGCCCTATTTCCCAGTCTAACCACAGGCTGGACGGCTCTCCCGCCCCAGCCGTGGATGTGGCAGTTCTTCTCCGGCGGTCCGAGTTCCGCAGGACTGACCAGGTTTGCTGGAACCGCTTTGGCTGCGGCGGCTGCAGGGCTCACGTTTCTCTCGGATGCCTGGGCTGGTGAGCAAGGAACGCGGGCGCCCGCGGGCGCCCCCGGGGCTCCCTGTGGCACGACGGTCGCGGGCTGTTGGAGCGCAGCCAGGGCTTTCTGGCGGTCGTGTATTTTCTCGTGGCGCGAGAGGTGGGTTTTGCGGGTGAAGCATTTCTTGCAGGTGGTGCAGCAATACGGCCTGTCCTGCGAGTGGGTCTGCAGGTGCCGCTGAAGGGAACACGTGCCAGAGAGGATCTTTTTGCAAAGACTGCATTTCAGCACGGACTTCCTACGAGACTTAGGACTCTGCTGTCGGGAGAAACACGCGCTGGACAGGCTCCCTCTGTCCAGCTCCTCCTTGGCCTGGCCCAGCCAGGGCCCCCCAGCATACATCCCGTTGCCCAGGCTGTGGGCACCTCCGCAGAAAGCCCCGCAGAACTTCCTCCTCGGCCGGATCCTCAGCTCCGGGTGGACGTTCCCCCAGACCTTGGCCCCAAAGGCCCTGTCTTTTATGTGGATGCTCTGGTGAAGGTCCAGGTGGCGTTTGTCCGCGAAGCTGATCTCGCACATCGTGCATTCGTAGGGCCCCTCTTTGGCGTGGCTCCGCTGGTGGATGATGAGGTTGATTTTCAGACGGAAACGCTTCCCGCACTCGGTGCAGGGGTGCGACCACTCACGCACGTAGCCGCGCCGACAGTTGCCCATCAGCAGGCTGCTGCTCGCGCACCTGCTCGGTTTCTTCTTGCTCTTGGCCTTGGCCTGCTCACTTTTGGGGCACTTTTGGATCTCTGGGCCGGGAGAGGGTGCAGAAACCTCTTGCAACGCCTTGGGTTCCTCTTCCTTCACCTTGACGTTTTCAGGAGGAGAAGCCCCTTCACAGGCCATTTCATTTCCCAGTAAAAAGCCTTCCTCTGAAACGGAACAACGCAGGCATCGGTCATTCGCGCTCCCAGGATGAACCCAGGTTGTGGTTAAGCCCCAAAGCACTGAGCAGGCTTTTAGCAATAAAGGAGCTACCAACAAATCTGAGAACGCAGGTTGGAAAGGTGCAGGTGCCACCACGGCGTCCTGCCCACACGCCCTGAGCAACCCAGCGTGGTCTCAGGGGGCAGATCTCTTGCTCCCGGGAAGAACCAGGCTGTGGACCGCTGCAGTGCCATCGGGGCCGGTGGCGCAAAGGGATCCACCTCTAAAACCCCGACACCAACGACGGCCACAAGATGCAGCAGGAAAAAAAGGTCACTGAAGAGCGGCAGCCTGCAGTATTTCAGGCTCTTCACTTCTGTCAAGCTTCAGGCTGCCAGCAAACGCCAAACGCTGCAGGCAAACCGGCTCCCGTGAGGGCCGTGCAACGCCGAGAGTTGTGGGGAACTCTCCACACACACCCCCCCCCACAGCCAGGCCATTCAGCCGGTGTAAGCCGTGCCCAGAACCCATGCCGTTTAACTCTGCGCACCAGCGCCAGAAACGGGCTCCAAGTCCCTGGAAGAGGAAAGCGCTCTGCGCGTTAGCTTGGCAAAGCTTCAGGACCAGAACAGAGGGTGTCTGCAGACGGCCGCCCCCGCTTCCTACACCCCCCGCTCCCCCTGCTTCTGGCACGGAGAAGAGGGCCGTGCCACGGGAAGCATTAGGCGAGCTGAGCTCAAGGCCAGCTCTACCATAGCGCAGCGGAGCTGGAGGAAGGAAGCGTGCTACTGCTACCAGCTCTCCCCCAGTTTCTGACAGAAGGAACCCCATCTGGACCGTTGTTCTTTCCGCAGAGGCGACAGGGCTGAAACGCCCAACGCCAGCCCCCTCCCTTGCTCGGTGATAAAAAAAGAAGAGGTCCAAAACTTTCTTCTCCCTCCCCATTCCAAGCACGTTAGCGAGCTGGGAGCTGCTTCCTGCCTGCAGGGCCCCGTGTCTCCCCTGCACGGGGTTACTCACTGGTGCTGGACTCAGCCGGGTCCTCCTCCATCTCCGTCCCGGGCCGATCTTCCCCGCGCAGCTCCTCTTTTTGCGCACTCAGGGACATGACATTCATCACCAGGATGGGGAGTTCTGTTTCCAGAGAAGTGCAATTTTAAACACCCGCGGAGAGCTCACATCTTCCTGCTTCGGTGCGATGCTAACCGGAGATGTGCTGGGAGCGTGCACAAGAGCCAGAGAAAGCTGCGGCTGAAGAAGCCGTGACATATTGCGCCAGGGGAGGTTTACATGGGATATTGGGAAAAATTCCTTCCCCGAAAGGGTTGTCAAGCATTGGACCAGGCTGCCCAGGGCAGTGGTGGAGTCACCATCCCTGGAGGTATTTAAAAGACGTGTAGACGTGGCGCTTAGGGACATGGTTTAGTGGTGGACTTGGCAGTGCTGGGTTAACGGTTGGACTTGATGATCTTAAAGGTCTTTTCCAACCGAAAAGATTCTGTGATTCCACGGAAAGCATGTGAGGTGTTAGAAGGAACTGGAGTGAAGCCACACGCAAGGACCAAAAGCAGAGGGAGGGCTGGGAAGAAAGACACCAAGGTGCCGCATGCTGTCACCTCTGCAGGGCAACCTCATCCCCCCTAAACCCTCCCCACCAACTCTACAGGTAGCATTCCCGTGCTGCCTTGTGTTCGGGCCCTCGAACCCCTTCCGTTTTCCCTGGCAGCACCTTGACAACGCACCCCAAGGCTTCTGCTTTTCCCTGGCGATGCTCCTCTTAAGCACAGTGACATGCCATGCCCTCTCCCACGGACACTGCTGGGGGACGACCTCCTGAGGGAGCTGGGACAGGAACGGCCCGGGGAAGCAAGTCCTCCTGGCGCCCGGGTAACTCACCTGGGTCAGCTCCCACGGGGACTTCATCTTCTCCCAAAGCCTCTTCCTTCTGGTCCACCTCTTCTGGTGTCCGCGGGGGCTCCTGACCGTCTCCGATGTGCGTCAGCGGGGGCTCCCGACGGTCTGGGACGCAGAGCTCTTCATCCCTCTCGATCCGGGACAGGACGTCAGGCTTGGACACAGCATAGTCTGCTCACGGGGCAGAGGGGCAGGGGACAGCGTGCTTTGTTAGGAACCGGCTGCAGCTTCATTCTGCCGCACTCTCAAAGCGACCCCTCTCTCCCTAACCCCCCAGCAGGCAGGCAGTACAGAGAGACACAAATACGTTATCCATGCTCTCACTGGAAAGGTGGTGCTGCTTTCTTGGCCCTGCGGCAGGATCCACCCCTGAGCACAGCTGTAGCTCAAGTGCAGAGAGAATCTAAATAGCAGAACGCGAACGTCTGAGAATCGAAGTGACAGAACATCTCGGGGAGGGAGAGCCTCTGTCTACACAACATCTTTTTCCTCTCTCCCCGGGAGCACTTGACAAACAAACCCCCAAACACACACCTGGGGGCTCGTATCGTTTCTGGGTAACGTTCCCCAAAGGACAGAGCCTGCTCTGCCCTCTGCCCCCTCCAGCGCTCGCCCGGCCTCTCCTGGGGCTTCTTTAACCCCCACCCCCTCGGTCCTGCCGGAAAGAGCTCCTGACCACAGCTCTGCCCGCACGTTTCTTCTTCTCTTGGCTCTGCCAGGGTCTGCCTGTCCCTTTCCAGCATCTCCTGCCTTTCTTGCCCAGCCTTCGCACTCTTAAGGACTGACGTTTCCAGCTCTCCCATGCCACGCCCCAAGGCAATCCTGACCGCTTCTGCTCCCCCCAGCACCAGCAGAGCTGCTCCAGCCTCCTCCTCCCACTGCAGGTTCCCAGATTCCTCACTTCCCACCACCTCTCCTCTCTCACCATGGCAAGCAGGAGTGCCTTTGGAAGCCCTAGGGCTCATGCATGCCACCAGGTGAAGAAGGATTGCCGAATTGCACAGAAAAAGGACTGGAAGGGATCACAAGAGGTCTGTCCCACCGCTCCAGACTCCATCCCAGCCCCTCCTGACAGGCTTTGTCTGTTTTTCTCCACGGGATTCATCTGACCAAGCATAAACGTTCCTCTTGGAAGAAGGATTCAAGGTACTCCGTGGAGGTTTAGTCAATACAGTCAGCAGACCCTCAGAGCAGTTCATTTCTAACAAAGACACTGCTGGGAGATCTCCTGACAAAGCCGAGACAGGAACTGCCACCTCCTCCTCCTGGCACCCACCTAACTTACCTGTGTCGGCTCCCACGGGGACTTCATCTTCTCCCAAAGCCTCTTCCATCTGGTCCACCTCTTCTGGTGTCCGCAGGGGCTCCTGACCTTCTCTGGTACATGCCTGCGGGGGCTCCTGACCATCTCCGATGTGTGTCAGCGGGGGCTCCCGACGGTCTGGGACGCAGAGCTCTTCATCCCTCTCGATCCGGGACAAGATGTCAGGCTTGGACACAGCATAGTCTGCTCACGGGGCAGAGGGGCAGGGGACAGCGTGCTTTGTTAGGAACCGGCTGCAGCTTCATTCTGCCGCACTCTCAAAGCGACCCTTCTCTCCCTAACCCCCCAGCAGGCAGGCAGTACAGAGAGACACAAATACGTTATCCATGCTCTCACTGGAAAGGTGGTGCTGCTTTCTTGGCCCTGCGGCAGGGTCCACCCCTGAGCACAGCTGTAGCTCAAGTGCAGAGAGAATCTAAATAGAACGCGAACTAAAAATCTTAAAGGAGAGGGAAAGGCTTTGTCTTTAACATTTTCCTCCCATTTCAACTTTAGCAGTGATTTGAAGAGCAACTCTCCTGAGCTATCGTTCTGGAGTAGGGACAGAAGGCTTCCTGCTCTGTAGAGATGTCCGTGTCAGACGGACCACGAGAGGAACGGGTTTGTTCCGTTTCTACAAAATATTACTGAGATAAAGCGAAGCCTCAACTTCAGTAGCCGCACAGACCAGCACGTTACTAGAAACAGCTTTTGGTGGGGAACATCTTACAGCCCAAACCACCCAAGCACACGGCGGGTGCCCTTAGAAGGGCCGAGCACGACTGGGTTAGTTCTTTACCCAGGTACATGGAAACGTCCCTGTCACTTTACACAGCAGCTAAACAGACGGAAAACAAGAACTAGTTCAAGGTGCAATTATCAAACTTCACCCACGTAATTCCTGAGCTGCGCTGGAAGATCACGATGGTTCCCTGACCCTGGCATCCACTTACACAGTCATTAGGAACAGCATCTCACGCGGATATTTTTTTATAATCGATATTGCTTGTATTACTACCGCTACTATTATTTACTACAGATCTCTCTTACGTTGTTTATCACTTTACAAGCAGGAAGGAGGGAAAATGCGTGGGTCTGACTGCCCAGGAGAGGTTCTGCTAGCTACAGGCGTCCAGCCCCACCGAACCAGACCATCAGTCGGGCAGCGGTGGGAAGCAGTCCAGCCTACCCGCAAGAGAAGCTCATCTGGAGGCGCAAACCCTGTGCCTTACCCAGGGAGATCAGCGTCTCGTAGTTCCCCCTCATCACAGCCCTGTACAGATCCTTCTGCCAGCGGTCCAGTCTCTCCCACTCCTGCTCGTTGAAGTACACCGAAATGTCATTGAACGTGACCGGTACCTGGAATCACAAGTGTTACGCGCTTGGTGACTTCTGATGCAGTGAGATGGAAACTGGAAACCAGGCACGTGCAAGCGAGCGCTTGGCTTTGGTTGCCGGAGCTCAGGGCAGGCACGGAGCAAAGCGTGCCCGGCCAGATCAGGGCTTGCCAGCGGCAAGTCCGGGACTCGCAGGTGCTCAGCCACCCCGGCTCGCCGCTCAGATCGCTCTGGCATTTCCTAAACACCCCCTCC